ATTTATTTTTTTTTTTTTTTTTTAAATGTTCATCTAAAGAAAGTCACATCAGGGATGGCATAAGGGTAAGGTAAACGATAAGAGAACTTTCATTTATTTGGGTGGAGTATCACTTTAGGAAAGTATATCAATACAATTTTGCAAATGCCCTTAAACTCTTGCTTAGCTCTTCTACCTCTTGAAGGGCATGTAGTTACCCCAACAGATTTTTTGTTGCCTGTGAAACATGAGGTCTGGAAATAAATACCACAAACATGTTTTCCACTAAATTACCCCCAGTATTAACCCTTATTTGTATGTACAGGAACGTCTTGACCCTTACTTGGTGTTTGTCCAGAAATAGCGAGCCTGGCTTTACTTGCACGGGCTCGCCGAGCGTCCGTCTTGATGGTAGTTTTCACCCGTCCATCAGGGCCACCAAAATTATCAATAAACAGTTTCATCGGTCTTCCCCTTCCAGCACGAGGCTTTTCTTGCCCCAAATAATCTGGGCAGCCAGTGTTTTGATCGTACTTTGGATCTAGTTGGGCATGTGGAGTTTGTTCCACTGGTTCTCCACAGACCGTGGATTTAATAGAAATATTATCTGACTCAACCGACACGTTACTGTTTATAAACGACAAAGCGTGGCACTGCACTTCTGTCGGCCCGTGTATCACACGCTTCCCGCCATTTCGACGTTTTAAGCACAACGCTAAACGCAAACGGTAGAAAAACTCTTTTCTATGTTCGGACAACCGTTTCGGCGTCTTTTTGGACGGTGGCTGAGTCCTTGTACAAGTACTCTGAGCTTTAGTTCCTCCCCCTTGACAGTTACTAAAGCCACTGACTGTGGATGGGAAAGTACCTTGATTATAACCCCCTCCGCAGCCGTCATGTTCCGCATGAGCGTCTTGTTTGGAGCTCGCTTGCCCGTCAAATTGGGACGGTGGTTCGCGGTCGGCTGTGGCGCAGATTTCGTTGGCGTTTCGTTCTGGGGAAACGACATCTGCTGCCTCCGGAGCTGGAGAACTGGCTTGGTCTTGTACCTGTATGCCACGATCGGCAAGTGGATTTAAACCAGACACAGTTTTAGGTCCAGTCCATCTGCGTTTGGTCGGCTCTAATTTGTTACCGAGCTTAAACGAATCCCTCTTCAATTTGATCCTCGAAACGCCGCTGCACGGAAGCATTACTGAAGTCAACTGCGATTAACGATAACTAAAACGTGCATTTGTGTGCTACCTTAACTTGTGTCCCGCATAAATGAACTCAATTTTCCTCAATGCACAGGAAAATAAACATTTTACAGTTTATACTGAGCACAAATTGTTGATTTAAGAAAAACTGTTAATTAAAATATTCACAAGAGCAAACGCATTTAATGCGTAGGCAGCACCACATTGAATCCAACTTGACGTTCGTCAACCGAGATAAAGCTGGTAGAACGTAACACGACGAACTGTATAACACATGCAAGAAACCTTTTTTTAAGACAGTAATGAAACATGAGCTCCGCAATACCTGTCCGTGCCACTGAGCGATTATTACTAAAAGAAGATTTAAAAAAAACCTCCCACTTCCAATTTCGACGTAAGACATGCGCAATTGATTTTTGAGTGTTCGATGAATACTGCCGCCGCGTGGTTTAGTGCTTGGGCAAAGTGGCAAACCATAAAAACAAATAAACCTTTTTAAATTTCCGAAACATGCACGTGGCTAAATTAACATATTTGTAATCGGTGCTAAGTAAGAAATATTCTCAATTAAAGGCCAGGCTTGGGCATTCAAATATGATGCTACAACAAACATATAGGCAACAACACACACAAATGGGGCACAAAACAGCCCAAACCTCCTTAAAAGTAGAACTACTAAATTTATAAGTACAATTTTAATTTTATGTGTGAATTTAGCAATAAACATTGTATTTTTTATTTTTATTTCTAACAATACACAAAACGTACTTTTCAGCAAAAAAACAACATTCTATTTTGTTACTATCTCACTACTGTACTATTTTTACTATTACTATTTCAACTTCAACTTTATTGTCACTCTTCCACATACACAGTATACAGAAGAACGAAATGCCGTTTCTGACGGACCAATGGGTCCACATATTTCTCATGTCTTGTAACAGCAGTGGTCCAGACAGACAGTTTATCTGATTTTTGTAACACATTCTTGTGTAGAAACACCCAAGTTCACGCAAGAGCATAGTGGAAATATATGTAGTATGCTATTTGCATTTTTGATTGCTGTGTCTGTCTGTATTTCTCTGTCCCTGTGTTTTTTAACAGGGCTGCCATCATTGAGCGCATTCCAGCTGGAGTCACGGGAACATTTGAGTTTAAGGCCTTTAGAGGGCAATAAGTCAACATTTTTAAATACCTTACTTTGTGTGAATTTCAGGTATTTGCAGGTAAAGGAAAGAGAGGGAAGAAGAATGGGGGGGGGCTTTGTCCGTACCGGCAACAACCTGGAAAATAATGGCAACAGCAATAAGCTGTAAGTGTCACTCTCTCTTTTCGTACACTTTGCCACACTTTTTAAATACTTTTGTCTTTCTCTTTGTTAAAAACTTTCACATTTCAAAGCATGTTTAGAAAATGCATAAGACAAAATAAATGCATAATTACTCTCAAAAAGTCCTTTGAATACAAATTTGCATTTGAATGCAAATTTGAATGTTTAATTTAGCCTTTTTGATTACTATGACTTTTTCTTTTTGTGCTGCAACTGTTCGGCTCATTCCATGTGGAGGCACAAAAACATTTGATTTTAAGCCTGTTAAAGGGAGATATGTCAACATTTTTCTACCTGGGAACAGGAAAAACTCACTCTGTGTAAAGTCGAGGTGTTTGCAGGTGAGAGTTAAAAGGAGAGAGAAGGTGGTTTGTTTATGCACATGTGTACTGTGTTATTATTAATGATGCCTTGATGATGTTCTTATTTTATTGGCAGACTAAGTGATGAGCAACGAGATGAAGTTACACCTCAGTCCATTCATCCCTGAAGCAAAAAAACTAACAAAAAAAAAAAGCAGTATAAATAACCCTTTATAAAATATATCTAGCATTTCCTTAGTTGTGGCACTAAACAGGTTTTACATGTTGTTAGAGTAACATGCAATGAGGTTGCATGTTTCTTTTTATTTATTTTTTATTTCTGTTTGCCTGTTTTAACTGCAGTTAACTGGCCTAATATAGTGCAAGCAAGGCTAAAAAACTAAATTTGGTGAATTTCATTAGATGAGAATAGAATGGCCTTTGAGAATAATTTAGGGTGCTAAAAATGTTGTAAAAGTATAGTTAGGAAAGTGAAGTTTTTACTTTACTTTCACTTTCTTAGGGATCTGCCATTGGTTTATTACCTGTAAAAAAGTTTCATGAGAACTGGTTAAATAGTATAACAAGTGTGGGGCATTGATTGAAATGCACAAGATTCCATTAGTTGCTTTTATTTGAGCTGGCTCAAAATGTAGATCGAGGTGTGGTTAACTTGATGCACACACAAAGTCTACATATCAAATATATCAGTCAAGGCCATCACTGCTTTTAGGGCTCAACTCCCATTCAAATGGCAGTCGAATCCTTCACAAGTCCCTGATGTCTCTCCACCACTTGGTCACCTTTGATATCAGTAAACATAGCCATGGTGGCCCAGTTTAGGGAAACTGAGGTTGATTCATATTTCAACATTTAGCCGAGGAAGTCTGCTCCACCCTTTCTTTAGAAGAAAGTTTGAAATATGAGACTGAAATAAACAATCCTTGGGCATACGAGCTGCTTCCTGAAGGCTATAGACAAAGATTCTGATTATTTGTGTATCCGATTGGAATCTGATCTGTCCACATAACTGTTTATTCAGCTCCAAATCTTAAATCCAGATCTCATCTTTTTTGTCTATCAATTCAGAATGGTATAAAAATAAAACTTTACAATTTTACTTTGTTTATTTCTCCCACAAACACAATTTCCTCTGATGAATAACTTTCCAAAATGGTCTCGAGTCTCTTTCCTGTCCAAAATGTTGTTTCTTACATTGCCTACACTATAAAATCCAATAGTTTACCTTACTTAGATTTAATTAGTTATCTGTACTTAGTTGTTATACTTACTAGGTTTTATTAAGTTACAGCTACTTGACTTTCAAGGCAAATAAAACAATTTACTTACTGTTTTGAGTGAAACGTACTTAAAATATTCGAGTAGCCACAAAGGAACCAATGACATTAATACACCAGTGAGAGGCAGCAGTGCACTAATATGTTGCTAATGTGCAACATAACAACAGAAGAAGAAGAAAAGAAAAAGAGTCTTAATAGACTTTTCACCCATTTTCTCCATGTCTGCAGTTATCTTTCACTAGTTGCATTCACTCGTTTCCCAAAGTCATCTTGAATGTTGAATTTTCAATACAACTGAAATATCTGAGAGAACATCACATTAGCTAACTTCATAAATTGATGTTGATTTTCCTAAAATGTGTTTTTTTTAATCACCATTATAGTGATTAGCGTTCCCTTTGGTTGGGCACTTGGAACTTCGTTTATATTATTATAATTTACTTTCTCTTAACACAGCCGTGCATCATGAAGTTAGAGTTCTTTGATCTCAAGTGTAAAAAAATAATAGATGGGTTGCTTTTAGAAAGTGACCTATCTTCTAATTAAAGCATTAGTGTGTTTTTTATTGTGGTATTTTCTAATGATCTTTTTCAAATATCATTTTTCATAAATATTTTGAGATGCTTTTAATTGGGTTCATATAATTCTTAATTAGTGTGGTAATATGCTAATGTCACACACAGACATTCGGCACGTGAATCACAACAATGGTAACAATTAAATAAAATGTATTTTCATTAATTGTAACAATAACCATTTTATTTGCTCTTTTTGTTGTGCTACTACTGACACAAGACAGCAAATAAAATTGGCAAATAAAATCAACAACTGTAAAACAAAGCAACTGCATAATTTATTCATGCCGCAATGCACTCTGGGAGTCAGTGAGTATACTAAGTCATGAGTAAACCTAAATTAAAGGATCAAGTACCCCCTACTGTTATTTTTTAGTTACTAGAACTCTCGTGTAAGTAAACTATAACTAAGCTTTTGTCAGCACAACATACTATTCCTGTTTCACTTTACTTAGTTTTTTCAAGGCAATCGGTTTGCATGCTTTTTTTTAAGTAAGCCCAACTAATTAGATTTTACAGTGTACATTCAGCCTCCCTACCTGGGCAGAATTTCCACGAATGAGCTTTCCTTCCACATCTTGTGAATTTCCTCGGTTAATTTGATGAGAATAGAATAGCCTTGGAGTATAATTTACCTTGCTACAAATGCTGGTGTTAATTTTTGTGCGTGTTACTGGTGTTTTGGGCAAATGAAGGATGCTGCTTGTAAAAATATGGGGAAAACAAATGTTGCACAGTTCTTCTCTTACTTTGCAGCATCTAAATAAAAAAAAAGTCTATTTGCCTACTATTTTAGCTCAATGATCCTAACAGAAAATTTATCTGATTTTTGTAACAAATTCTTTACATTTACAAACATGCATGTTGGTTATGTTTGTTTGTTGTGATGTCAAACCCCTTACTCAGGCCACATACCTGTTAACTGCTGACATCAACACCAATCCCTGCATGCCAGCATCCATAAAACCAGGATGCCAGAACACCAGTGGGAGCTTTTGATTTTGCTCATCCACTCTTTCATTTAATCCATCATCATATTACGGTTCTACTAGTCTGTAGTGTAGACACACCAGGTAAGGGGTGAGTGCCACACTCTGTGCTTTAGTTTTGGCTAGAGAGTGTCGTTTAGATAGGGTGTCATTGACGTCAAAGACGGCATGGCATTGTGCTTAGATTGCAGGTGTTGTGTTGGATAGTGCAAAGATGAATGCAGTGTGTTATATTGTGTGCGAGTTTATTGCTGGCCACGACAATCATGGTCTTGTTTGAGTTGCAAGCATTTATTAATAATCCAATCTAGATCTGAGAAATGCATGAAGGATGACTTGATCGCTATTGCAAGTCATTTCCAAATTCCTATTCTGAAGCATGCTCTCAAGAGGGAAATTAAGACTATTATTTTGAGTCTTTAGAAAAGGATACATGTTTTGGTGTCTGGGTGCTGATCGTGACGTGGGCATACGCCCTCTAGGCGCTGGCGCTGAAATTGAGGATGATATTGCGGCAGATAATATTGCGACAGGTTGAGCTGGAGCCAGTGAAGGCTGCAGACGGTTTGGCCGTGCAATTGAATCCTGCATGTCCCTGATGTCTCTCCACCACTTGATCCATCCTCTGTCCCCTTTGATATCAGTAAACATACATCCATTGTGCCCCAGTTTAGGGAAACGTAGGTTGATTCCTATTTCAACGCTTAGCCCATGCTCCACTCTTTATTTAGAACAGTGGTTAGCGAACTTTTTGTAGTGTGCACCCCTTTCTAGTGTTTGACACCTGTCAAGCACCCCCACCACCTTCCTCCGGTTAAACACCACATTTTTAACTGCAATAACTAAATACAAAAATATTCACTGTCTACAGGGCATGACATTAACTTTCTTGCTCACCAGCCACTGTGGCTAGTGGTTTTCCAAAATTAGTTTTTCCACCAGTCACAATTTTGTTGTTAGGAAATTGCATTTTATGACTAAAGTTCCAGGTAATTTTAGACTCTATATAGAGTATTTTCCCTAACCTTATTAAATGTATACGTCATCTTTGATATCAAATTCTTACTTTTTATTTTTCTAAGAATTTAATTTAATATAATAAGACACTATAGGGCTGTTTCCAATCAAATGAAATCCGTGTTAACAAAACCGATCTTTCCACTGCAGAAGAAACAGAAGCAGAAGTGGTATTTAGAGGCATTTACACAAGACAGTTTAATGAAGCTGAAATGTAGCATGAATGCATTTACACTGCAAAATTACAACAGCATAAATAATGTTATGAGCTTGGTGTTTTAAATATATATATTTTTAAATTATACAAATATGAAATGTTGGACAAAAATGCAAAGATGAGCTACTTTTAAATATGGAAGTAAATCGCCAGTAGGTGGCAGTAAGTGAATGTCATAATGAGTAAGTAACTATTTTCATTGTTAACCAAATCGAGCAAAAACAGTCAAAATGGACAATATTGTATTCAAATGTAAGTCACTTAAAATTAGCTACTCTTGCATAAATTATTGTCAAATTTGCAGTCATACTGGTTTTCAGGGAAAACGGCACTCTCTGACAGTGGGAGTGCATGACCAGCGCTCTCTTCTACTCTCAATACTAGAGGTGAGAGACCCTTGAGCAAGGCACCGAACTTGGCTTCACTACTCACTGCCGTGTGTGTGCACTTGGATGGGTGAAATGCTCATACTCAAATCGAGTATGGGACACCATACTTGGCCATACTGAGGGAGTTATTGTTGCTTGAGAGAGTAGTGAATGAGCAGAAACACATACATATATTATGCATACACACACACACACACAAAGAAAAACACGTAGATAGAATAGAAAAAATATAAAGCTAGTGTTTTTTTTTAAATAATAAAAAAAATATATATATAGATAAAGTAGAATTAAAATAGAATAGAAAGTGCTAGAGTTAGAGGGTCAAATAAAGGTGGGTATATATCGTATATATATATATATATATATATATATATATATATATATGTGTGTGTGTGTGAGTGAGTGTGTTTTTTTATTTTTTTTGCAAATATGATTTATTCTGAAATTGCAGCGGCATTTTGGATTAATTGTAGGTTTGATAGAAGTGGCTGGAAGATCTGCCAAGAGAGCATTGCAATAGTCCAGCCTGGACAGAACAAGAGCTTGAACAACATTAAAATTCAATTTAAAAAGCTGGGTAATCTGGTTGCAAGTAACAGGGTACAGGGGTTAAAGACTAAATGCTGGTTTAGTTATTAAGCTTGAATTTCCCATGCATTAAAGAAAAAATGTTTGTTGGACCATTATTTCTTACAATAATGGACGAGGCCAATGATA